TGCAACAGCTGCTGACAGCCCACCAGTCACATAGCATAGCTGTTGGCACATGTTAATATTTTGTTTTTGCATTAGAGAGGAAACTGCGAAAAAAAACGACTGTGCCTGCCAGCGAGAAAACCAGTGCAGCCCTCCTGCCCATCACGACAGCGAAGCCAACAATGCGGCTGACAGCCAGGCGCCTTGCGAATTTCTTCCCGAAGATGAAGAAGCTGCTCCCGGCAGCCAGATAGGCCAAAACCCTCCCCCTTCCCCAAGCGAAAGGGGAGACAGCAAAGCCAAGAAAACGGCTGGCAGCCAGGGTGGGACTGCTGGGTCTTGTGGATCTTGTGTGTTTATTCATGGAGACCTTCCAACCCCGCACGAGCTTGCGGCTGGGCTTCCAGGTCCTCTTCCCAGTGAGGGCTCTCCTGCTGACTCAGCTCCAACAGAAGCCATGGAAGAAGAAGAATGCGTCTCTGATTTGGAACGGTGGGGTGAAAAGGTGTTGGGAAGCCCAATGTCTCCAAAACAACCTGATGATGAGTTGCTTGCGGAGATGACTGCCAATGAGGCGAATGTTGGGAAGGGCTTGGGGACCGTGAGCAGCCACATTCTCCTTCAACCAACTGCACAGCTGCTGAGGCAAAATGCTTTCCTTGAAGGTGAAGATCACTACGGACCACACACACCGGTGCCAGCTCAGGCACCATCTCTAAGCACGACGAGGAGGCTGGGTTCTTTTGGCAGCCAGTCTGACCTCTCAGACATGCTCCAGCAGGTTGAGGATGCACAACAAGAACCCGATCAGGTAGGTGACGCAGACAGTGTTGAACCAGAAGTGCCCGAGCCCAGTGAGCCACCGGAATTTGCCGGCTCTTCTTTGTGGGAGTTTCTGTCGGCTTCCTGGCCAAAGTTGACCCAGGAGGAGCGAACGCAATTTTTCCACAATCTGTGTCTGCGACAGCATGGAGTGACCAAAGCTCCCACAGTGGTCACCATGTGCAGCGGCTCAGGAATGGGAGAGCTGGCTCATAGGTTCTTGTGCGCTGCCTTTAAGACAGAGGATCACTTTTGTTTTGGCTGCGAAAAAGAGCCTTGGAAGAGGAAACACCTCCTTGAGACGGTCCACCCGGAACTCTTGCACGATCCGGAGGATGGTTGTTTGTTCAACGAGTTCATTGACCTGCAAGCCTCTGAGGCCATGTGCGCCCGGCATTCTCAGCTTTGCCCTGTCAGAAGTTTACCTTTCTTGGCGATCATTGGCTACAGCTGCAAGAACCTCAGCCGGATGAACTCTAAGGCAAACCAATCAGTCCTACGCAGCATGACAGGGTCCTCAGGGCAGACGGCAGAGGCCATGCTCAGGTACTTGGAAACTCACAGACCTATGGTTGCTTTGCTGGAGAATGTGGAGGAAATGGCTCGAGATGCCGATGTCAGTGACAATGTCCTTTACCTGTTCAACGAGCTGGAGAAATTGGGCTATGCCTTTGCCACCAAACTTTTCGACGCCAGCCACTATGGACTCCCTCAGGCACGGAAGCGGGCTTGGCAAATCCTGTTGAATGAAGGTTGTTTTGTCGGCGGAACTGAGCAGCTTGAGCAGCGGGCACGAGACATGCTGAAACTGGCCGAGCACTTGCAGATTCCGGAGCCATGGTCACTTGAGAAACATATCCTGCCAGATGATGCAGAGTGTGTGAAGGCTGAACTGGAAAGGAAAAGGCCCCGCAAAAAGGCAGAGGGGCCAGGAGACCAGAACTGGCGAAAGCATCACCGAGAATTCTTTCAATCCAGAGGGATGAGCTGGTTGTGTGTCCAAGCACCTTCTGCAGTTGCAAATGCCCCTGGCTTTGAGCTTCTCACAATGCGCGAGAAGGAGGCGCTTGCTTTTGGCCTCATGCTTGGGAAGCAGCGATGGCTTGCCCAAGCCGTGGCTGAGGCCCAGGCAACAGGAAGTAGCTTGCCTGACAGCCAAAGCAATACGGCGGAGGAGGACACATGTGCAGCTGACAGCCAGGGTCTTCGCAGCCAGGCCTCTACTGCCTTGAAGAAGGTTTGCGCAGTCGATGTGTCCCAGCGGCTTCGTGTGTGCACTGGCCCTGTGATGCACACGATGTTACCAGAGCAAAAAGACATGGGTCTTTGCCTTGGATGGGCAGGGCCGCCCAGTACGAAACCATATCTGGAGCAGAGGCTCTCAAGCTGCAGGGCTGGCTGGAAACTCGTTCAGCTCAACAGTGGTCCTAGCCTTGCTTCTGGCTCTCTACACTTTGCTGCCAGAGTACAAGTGGTCGGACGAGGAGTTTGAGAGATTAGAGAAAAGCCTTGGACGCCCAGACCCTGAAGTTTTGGCAGCGCGCGCTACTCAAATGTGCCATGGCTTGGACGACATGGACAGCAACTAACCAGGCGTGGCAATGGTGAGTCCTTCAGGTTTGTGAGGGGCAGGCGCGAAAGCGTTCAGGGGCTATGAGGCAACCATTCGGCTGACAGCTAGGAGCCTCATAGGTTTTGTCTCCTGAAGTTGAAACCAACAACAAACTGCCTGCGCTTGCGGAAAAGTTCATGCTCGCTGCTTCGGGCCAAAAACTATATCATACCATGAAGAAGGTTTAGAAGGCTTTAGAGGCCGGAGTTCAGACTAATTGATGCGGCGATTGTTCAGGGGTTGGATAAAAGATTGCGGCTGCCAGCCAGCTGCACACGCTGTCACTGTCAGTACTCAGTTTACCGAGAGCCCTAGTGTGAGCTTGTGAATTGAAACTGGCGATTAGGTTGGAACTATGGAGAGATGAATTGCCACCTTAGACCTTCAGTAATGTCGGCTGCGTGTCTTGTGTGTGAGTAGACTTGACTAGACTGCGAGCGTACGCGAGCTTTCCATCTAGCCATGAAAGAAGAAGCAAAATCTACCGCTGGCAGCGAGGCAATGTCAATGGTGACTGGCGGCGCTGGACCGTGCACTGTTGATGGCGCCATCTTCTTGAGAGTCCGGACATGTGGAGCTTGCGGCATAAGGAACACAGACCTGAATGAGATCACTGGCCCTTCCTCCATGGCGAACCAGAAGTTCACCGTTTGGAACAGAGGCACCTCCACAGATCCCCGAACCTCGCACGACGAGATTTGCCACTTGACCTTTCGCCATGGCGGCTTTGCAGAGGAGCAGCTGCCTGATCAGCCTGCGAAAACAGATTTTGATGCTTTCTGCAACGTCATGCGCAAGAATGCAGAGAAGGCAGCTGAGTTCCAAGGTGCCCGCAAGGAAATGCTGGCGATTTTGTGCAAGGGACAAGTCCGTTTCCGAGAGGGCAAAAGTGCCAACAAAGCCAGCCAAGCCTTCCAATTGGCAAGGGGGAGCCAAATGAAGGAGTTCCGCTCATCCCATTGCGAGATTGTGACGCCCTTCCGTGCAGTGGATAGACAGAAGTATGAAGAGCAGTTCCCAGGCGAGATTGAAGCCAAGAAATTGAAGACGACGATGAAAATGATTGAGGGAAAGAAGAGAGAAGTGGTTCTCGTCCGGAAGAATCCTGATGGGGAATGGGATTTGAACTTAAGGACCACAACGGGTGTTGTGCAAGAGGAAAGGGTTGACCATGGCGACGAACAGATCCGGGAAGGGCAGATGGCGGCCAAGTATGAATCTTCCCACAAAAGACTTTTCTCTTCGCTGACCGTGCAACTACTTTGGAAGCTGCTTCGGCTTCGGCTGCCAGCCAGGCAGTTGAACAGGAGGCCATGGAGGAAGACCAGTCGGATGGAGAAGAGATCTTGCCTGGAGGCCTGCTAGACATGCAGCCGAAAGGGTCAGCCTCAGCTGCCGTGAAAAGCAGGGGCGGGCCTGCTGCTCCGAAGCCACACTCTACCGGAGGCCAGACTCGCCCTGCAAAGCCCGAGCCAACGGCGATGGAGAAGAAAGCTGTTGCGGAAGCGCTTCCTGCAGCCGGCAAGGCTGTGGTCATCAAGGCTCCTGCAGCGAACAAGAATGCGAACTCTCTGGGCAGGCCAAGCAAATTTCGCGGCAAGTCATCGCAAGAAGCACTGGACGCTCATGGCCAGCAAGATGTGGTTCAGTCCTTGGACCTTGCGAGCCCTGGAATTGAATGTGGAAATAAACTGTCATAGGCTGGCTAGCCTAATTTCATTTAATCTAAGCCCGAGCATTGAAACCAGTGGGTTTGAGTTGTTTGACATCACATCATTTTCATGGTTCATGCAAGTTAGGAAAAGCTTCCTCAGCCACAAGGGGCTTTCTCGCCATATGCAAGACCTCACTCAGATTGAGCTGTGCAAGGTTACCATGACTGACTTTAGCAGCGCTGCCCAGGAAGCCTACAAGAAAGCATCTTCCTTAGACAACAAGGTCAAGAAGTGGCAGTCTGTTCCAGAAGATATCCTTGAAAGATCTGCTAGCCTCAAGAACATGGCTACAGCTCTGATTGCATCTGCCACTGCATTTTCCATGAGCAAGAAAGCCCTGCATACGGACAAGATGGAGACAGCGCTGAATTCGCTTGCTGCCCAAGGCATTGAGGCCCGGGATCAAAGTTTGATGTTCTGTTTGCTTGTTTAAATTTGCTTTTGGGCAGGCTCCACTGGCTTGGCGAGCTTTGCACTTCAAGGAACAGCTTGGTGGCCACCTCAGGTTCGGCAAGCTGGAGGCTTGTGCTGAGATGTGTGGCCAAGCTAAGGACAACATGCAAGACATCATGGAGGACTGCCTAAGAGAATTCCTTGGCTCACTTACTGTCCCTTTGGAGGATAGCAAGGGGCGGAAGAGAAGGTTTGATCCAGCGAAGACTTTGCAGGATCTTCTAACAAAGCTTCTTGCCTGCGCAGAACTTCCTGGCAGTGTAGTGCGGGACCTCAGCACTTTGGACACTGCCTTGCAAACAGATGAAAGTCGGCTGCCAGCCCGCAAGGAGTTAGAGGCTTTGAGAGAGGATGCTTCCTATGTGGGTGTGCTTGAAGCCTGTGCTCCACTCTGAGGGTTGGCCAGCTTTGCTTGAACATTTTGATGGCAAAGAATGCAAGGCAGGCTTTGCAGCAGAGTTGATGGAAGCCTTCGCCGCCTTCAATGACTGTGGCTTTGCAGTAGCTAATGTGGAGGTCGTAGATCGGTTGAACAATGCTTTGCTTGCAGCAATGGGTGAGTCACAGTCCGAAGTGGAACTCGTTCTGAAAGGCTTGGACCTCGTTTCTCAGGAAGCAGTTGGGAAGCTGCAAGAGGAAGTGGCGTCCTTCTGCAAGGAGGTTTGTAAAGGCAACTTGGTCAACCTTGCATTAGTTTATGAAAGGGAGGAAGCCTTGCTGCGCAGAGGCATCTGGGAGTGCCCTAAGTTCATTCCAAAAAATGAACCGGTTGCCTTGGTCCTGAAGTCGCTGCGGAGCAGGGCCGAAGACTTGAGAAAATACGCTGGGCTGATGGAGGAGGTGGCAAAGCTGGAGCAAGCCAGCCGCAATGTCCAGGTTCCTGAAG